CTCTATTTTTTGCCCACACAGGCCTACAAGGGAAGAGCCCTCCAGCTAATTAAAAACTTGCCAGTGGAATTTCGCTGTGACAAAAGGAGCTATTCATGTCGGCAGGACGGTGAAAAGGCTGCGCTGGCAGTAGTGATAGCATTGCTCAGCGTTAGCAAAATGAAGAGGCTTTACTTTGAAGCTCGTCCTCTTACAAAGACACCCAAGCACTTGACTCGGTGCATTGCTGCTCTCCCTCTGCTTCTGTTTTGACATCCATTATCATCTGATGCTCTGCAGTGGGGGAGTGCAGCTTGAACGTGAGCGTCAGTACTAGGTCTGCGTAGCTGACCTTCAGTCTGAAGATGCTGTCCTTAGTGAGTTCATCTGTTGCCTATGAAACGTATCTGACCCATACTACATTTTTCTTTTTTTGCACACAAAAAAAATCCATTATAGACTCGATCCATTTCACCGCCACGTTGTTAGTCCACCTCTCGCCTGTATCTGCAAGGTCAGAGATCCCATGTGCAAACTCAGGGAATGACCTTCGGCCTCGTCTGTTAGCCAAATTAGTCATCTTTAGGGCCTTCAGTCTATCAAATTATCCACCCATACCCTCATCCATCCATCCAACCTTCCTGTTCTCTCTGCAGCAGTTTCTCCGGGAAAATTGATTCTTTACTTTCAAGCAGAGGGGAATTCCCCCGTATGTGGTATTTTAAGTGCAACCCACACTTTCCATTGCAGACACACATGTCGTCTAGAGTACATTGGTAGTGGGTGATATGGATAGAATTCTCTCACAGTGTATAGTACATACTCTGAAACATCACTTGAGAAAATTGAATGTGAAAGTCCACTGTTGACCTTGGCAACAGCGATTGATCCTCCTGCAGCAGATGGAATATCCTCGGTGGAAAACTCTGGAGAAAAGTATTGAGTGGACTTCAGGCTAGGAAGTATATGTCAAATTGAGATAGTATTGACATTAAATAAGCAGCAGATTAAATTAGCGGGAAAAGTAGCAGAATGTCCACAGACTGTTTTCTCTGAACTGGCCGATCAGTCGTTGTCCAAAATAAAAATAAAAAGTGAAATAGAAAATGTGAAAATGTGATGAAATGGTTGTGATCAGACAACCACGCAGCGTATACAGTATATTACCACCAGGCAGTAATATTTTAAATATGTAAGAGGTGATTTTGTTCCATTGTATGTTGCACTGTCAGTTTTATTTTCTGGACAGCACTTCAATGTTCTCACGGTGGCGCAGTGGGCAGCATCGCCACCTCATAGAAAGAAGTGTGTGGGTTCAAAGCTGCTGATTGTCTGAGGAGGTTGAGGAGAAGAGGAGGAGGAAAAGTGTCCATTTCAAGAAGCTGAAAACGCTTTTCTCCAAATCTCAACTTTCTGTAACTGACTGCAAAGTTTTGCATAATTATGATTAAGGAACTGACCTCACAGCCCATTGTTCCTTCAGTGGGCTGGTTTCAGTCATTATGCAAATGTACTGTTTATAAGATTGGGGAAACCTGCAGTCAGCTGAGACTGAAGAAGTCACTTGGATGAGTCTCAGAAAACGCTACGTCCAGATGAACAGAATCAACTTTTGGTGACTGCAAAGTTGTTCTCTGACTTTTTGTTTTTGACACTTTCCAGGTTTGTAGTACAGTCAGTTCAACACATGGAGACATACACACAAAAGCATTACTTCAGGCATTTCCTATCGTAGGGGATCGTGGAGACATTAAGGGCTTCCTTCCTCCTTCAACGTCTTAAAACACTTTCAAATTTCTGTTTCCTTCCTGTTTTTTTTTTTTTTACCATGAAGGGATTTTCTCATGTGTTCTTGAACCCTCCTCTCATTCAGTTTCTCTCTTCCTCTCTTCTATTTCCTCTTCTGCCTCAAACCTCTGTCATTGTGTGCCAAGCAGCTGTTGTAGCCGGCATGCATTCTGACGCTTGTGGGCATTACTGTCCTCATGGAGCTTTATAGGGAGACAAACTGTACTGAAATGCTACAAGGATGCTGGGATGTATTTGTCAATAGTATAGTGTTGTCTACTAAAGTATTCATTTAGCTGTCACCAGAGAATAGACAAGCTGAACTAAACATCTTTCACAGCTAAACCTCAGACATTAAAATGAGACATTGCATGCTGAGTCACCGCTCCATTGCATAAAGTCGAACTCGTGCAGCAGAGTTCACTTTTGTTAAGTTATTGTGGTTTTATAGGCATAA